TCCTTCTTTTTCTCTTTCCCAGATTACGCCAGCCATTTGTGAGGAATTACATTGCTGGTTGAGTCCGTGACAGCAGGCTTTGAACTTCCCAAATCAGGCTTGTTAGTTGTGCTGGGGTCTCATGCTGCCTAGAATGCAGCTCTGCCTCAGTGACATTGAAACGACATCCCTAGCCTGAGGTCCTGTCTCCGACAGTAGTAAAGGCCACGCGCTCACTTGACTTTCCAGCTGTAGCGTGAGATACCTCTAGCACCTCGATATATCTCCCTTTCAGCTGCCATGGGCTCCCGAAGCCCCCAAACTAGTGGCTGCATTTCAACAACTGTGCTTAATAAATCCCAACAGATGCACCCCTGCTTCTGCCCGCCAGTCCTCCTTTGACCCTCATTTGCACGCTGATTTCTACAGTGCCTGACAGCAGCAAGCTCCTCGCACTGCCTGAAGCGCTTCCTCAGCTATGCCTGACTAATTGCATTACTTGCTCCCCAGTGCTGGCATGATGAGAAATAATTGCTTCCAATTCACCTTCTCGATGCCACTGGTGGTCCTGTAGACCTCTGCCTCGTTGTTTTTACATCTGCTTTTTCAGCCTGTTTTTACAGGCGTGATTGTAGCACAAAACCCTTCCTCTCTGTGTTTAACCCCTCCTCCTCCTCTCCCATTGCAGCTGGAACATCAGCTACAGTCGCTGAACTCGGAGCAGCTGGAGACTCGCGTGCAGAACGAAAGGCTCTGGCACCTGAATGAAAATCTGCTGGAAGAGCTGGAGAAGAGCAAATGGGAGCTGGAGGCAGTGAAAGGGCAATTACAGAAGCTCCAGAAAGAGGCTCAGCTTGAGCAAGAGCAGAAGGACAGGTGAGAATGGGCAGGGAAGGGGGTGTCAGGGCCCAGGCAGGGAAGGAAGTGTGGGCAAGTAGTTAAAGAGTAAGGATCTCTAATTAGAAGCCTTGGTCTCATCAGAGGATTGCCTGTCTCTTTTTCAGGAAAAGAAGTAACATCTCAGTAGTCTTACGGGCTTAAACAGGGAGTGATACTGCTACTCCCGCCTTCCTTTAGTGGGAAATGAATATATTCATTGATATTTGGCTAGAAAAGCAGTGTAAAAAATACAGATGTTCCCCAGCCTAAAGGACGCTTCTCCTCCGTGTATTTTCCAGTTCTCCATCACCTCTATAAAGTTCCTACAGATCTTCTAATGACTTATGTTCCTGTTTGTGGGCTTAATCTAATAATGCGTAGCTCAAACATTGAGATGCTTCAGCTCCAGATGGCAGTGAGCATCCTCCCCATCTCTAGCAGCTGAGGAAACTGGAGTGTGAAAGGAGAAAACGGGTTACCTGCCCTCACGTTGGAGGAGAGCGGGAGAACCAGGGTACAACCCAGTACCCCAGAGGGGTGCTTCCCGTGCTGCGTCCTCTGAGTCCTCCTAGCATAGGGCAGGCCCTTATCTTTGAGAATGCCATGAATGCCCCTGAGAAAGGGATCTTTATATTTCCTCTCCCATTAACTTATTTCCCCTTTTAAAATCCCCTTTGCCCAGGGATGTGTTTAGAGTCTCCAAGAACATGCAGAAAGAGAAACAAAGCCTCCTTCGGCAGCTGGAGCTCCTCAGGTAAGAACAGGGATGAAGGGAAACGCTGAGCTCTTGTGCACGTAAGGGGCTGAGGTTTCAGCACTGTGCTCGTTTCTTCCATGGAAACCTATGGGAGTGTATTCCAGCCGTGCTCAGACGCTGCTTGTTTTTCTAGGTCCAGACAGTTGTGCGATCTGGCCAGCTCTGGCAGAGTATAAGCTGTGTTATTTCACCAAGTAATCCCTCCACTGGAGGAATTTAGTCTTTCCTGCTGGTTAAGGGGACCACGTTGAGCCCATTACAGAACCACAGAATCAGTGAGGTTGGAAGAGACCTCTGGGATCATGGAGTCCAACCTGTGCCCTAACACCACCATGTGAACTAGACCATGGCACTAAGGGCCACGTCCAGTCTTTTCCTAAATACCTCCAGGGATGGTGACTCACCATGTCCCTGGGCAGCTCATTCCAATGCCCAACAACCCTTTCTGTGAAGAAATGCCTCCTCATTTCTAGCCTGAACTTCCCCTGGCAAAGTTTCAGACTATGCCCTCTTGCCCCTGTCACTGATTGCCTGGGAGAAGAGGTTGACCCCCACTTCGCTACAGCCTCCTTTCAGGTTGTTGTAGAGAGCAACCAGGTCTCCCCTCAGCTTCCTCTTCACTAGGCTAAACAATCCAGGCTATCCCACCTGAGCTGGGATATATGCAAATCCCAACATGTCTGGCAATAAAAAACATCTTTGTCGTCCCAGGCTCCCTTTCTGTTCCAGCTTTCAAATGTTGGTCACACACATTTTTGATGAGTGCTTCATTGTGTCCCTCCTTGTGTCTTCCTTTGGAGCAGAGAGATGAACAAGAAACTTCGAGATGAGCGAGACGCTTTTGAAGCCAAGAAGCTGGTTAGTCTAAAAAAGAAAATCCTAATTCCCAACCACGCTCCTTTCATCTGCTGCTGTTGCTGTCACCACTCAGGGGTCTGTCACTTCCACGGGGGACAATGACCTGACCTCAGGAGGCCTGGTGTGGAGCTTAATACAGACTTTGCGGCACCTCTCTGCCCATGCTGGAGATAAGCTCTGCTGGTTGCTGTTGCCAACTGCCAGGGTTTAACCCACGGCACGTTAGCTTGTGACTGTCACGCAGCCCCATGGCAGGGCTGCGGTGGGCGCTGCCTGCTGCACGCGTGGGCTCTGTGTGTTGGGACAGGCACTGGGCACGTGCAAGGAGGGGAGTGAAGCTGGATGCATCCCTGGAGCTGGGTGGTGAGGAAGAAGATGGATTCCCAGATGTGCTGCCAGCTGAGTGGGGGTGGAGGGGCATGGGAAGGTCTTGGAGTTTCTCTGAGTCCTTGAGTTTGTAGCAGATGTTTTCAAATGTTCCTTGGGGCAGCTCCCCATTCCTGTGAACTCTGCTGGGGTGGAGGTGCAGCAATGATGAGCCTTGTGTCAGAGGGCTAGGAGAAAGCAGCGGGGCCTCTTTGACATCTGAACAGTCAACTCCATCTCTGGCCTTTCCCAGTCTCCAAGATAAGTATGAATATGTGATCTATTTTTAATTCTTCTTATTTTTTCATGAAAAAGTCTTTTGTGTTCCCAAATGTCACTGGCAAGGCTGCTCTTTGCTCTTCTTGGACCCATCCCTGCCACCATGTGTCTTTACCTGCTCTGCCACCATGCCCCACCTGAAGATCTGGCAGCAGCTGCCTTGCAGGGAGGACAGGCAGTGGCAGGGGCTGCCAGAGACCTTCTGGCTGGGGCATGAGGGAACGTGGAAGGAAGCACAGGGATCCTGCCTAGATAGGGGATGAGATGCCCTGCTGAGGGAGAGGCTGGAGTTCTTCTCCAGGCTGTATAAAATAACCTCATTAACTGGATGGAGGTGGGTTGTGTTTGCGCCTTTGTGTGTGTGTTTCTGAAAGAAGATTATTTATTATTTTTTTTTTTTCCTTTTCAATTTCCCTCCCCCTCCATTTTTAAAGCTGCTAAGTATGTGTATGTGTACCAGAGCTTCCTGCTCCCTCTTGGAGAAGGAATAAACACAGTCACTCTGTAGCAGAGTCCAGTGCAAGCAGGCAAAGAAAATGGTTTGTTCTCCTCTTTCCGTGCATAGTGCTTCATCAGCTTCTGGATTCCTGTGGGTGGGACGGGTGGCCTGTGGAGACCACGGTTCAGGTATGTACCTCTGTGTGTCCAAAGCCTGTCTGCTTCTCCTCTGTTCTCCTCTCCTTTTGCCCCGCTGGGACCTGCTCAATGCTGCTCTAAAACATGACAGTTGTAGTTGGACCTAAGAGAGAGCCTAGCAGACAGAGTCATCGTATAGAGGAGCTGCTTTCTCCCTTCTCCCCGTGCTGGCAGTAGGGATGGGGCAGCAAGGTGAACTTCTCCTACCACCATTGCTTATCTGGCAAGGCTGGGCAGATGAAGCCTGTACCGGAGTAAGGTTTTTTTCCCTTGTCAGCCAGGACATCTTGTTGGCCGCTCTCGTTTCAGTCCACAGGAAAGCAGGGCTCCAAGGGATTACAGAGATGCTGCTATCATCATACACCTGCAGAAGATCTGCTGTCCAGCCTGTCCCGCTGTAAGGGGGAGGAAAAATAGCAATACTTCCCTGCAGCAGGAAAAAGGAGAGTCCAGCCTTCTGATGGGGATCCCCAGTGTGTGCCCTACTCTCTGCCAGAGACTATCAATGTTTTTACAGGTGAAAAAGAAACCTGAGGCCTTAATACCCTCTGTTAGTGCTGGGAAGAGTTGTGTTATTTCTGTGAAATGAAGGTGTGATGAACAGCGGTTCTTTCATAGCAAAGATTTTGAAGTGGTTGGAAAGAGGACCTGGACTGTACGTGGCTGAGAGCAACCCAGCTGCTGCTCCTTTGCACCTCTCAGTGCCCAGCTGAGTACCTTGCTCTTCCTAAGAGTTTCTGGCCTTGCCAGGGTGGGCAGACCCTGGCCCCACAGCTCTGTGGGGCACTGTTTTGCCGCACTGATTAGGTCAGAGAGAGCAAGGTGTGGCTATTTCTGCCTGTGTGCAAACCACTGCTGGGTGCTTTTTAAGACCCAGGGGTTGTGGGTTCAGTTTCGTATCCGTGACCCATCTGGCTATGGAGTTACGCTTGCATCTGGATGTTGACAGAGCAAATTTCGTGTCTGCTCAACACGAAGAGTGTTTTGGGACTTTGACTGCATTGGACACATATTTGTATTTCACTGATAAACCAGAATTTTTCCTATCTCACTGATAAACCAGAATCTTTCCCATCCAAAATGCTTGTACACGTGCTGTTGTTGTGGAATCCTTGCCATCGTGTGTTGTATAGCTGTGATGTCGCGTCTGTCCCTTTACCATCCCGGTGAAAAGCCAAATGTTACACAAACCTGGCAGGCCAATAAAGCATGGCAGAACAAATGGCAAAACACGCCCCGTTGTTTCTCCTTTCTTACCCAGGTACGTACTCCGCAGGCTGTTTCCTCTCCGGGTAGGGATGGTGCCGTGAGCAGAGAGGTGAGGGATGTGATGTGGCCCTCCTGCACATGCTGTGGTCTCCAAATTGCTCTGGCCTCTTTACAAAGAGGCTGTGGTGGCGGAGACCTTTATCTGAACATGCCAAAATGGGTTTGTAGAGGTGCTCTTAGACCAAGGGGCTTTCTTTTAATTTTTCAGGCGCCTGAGGATGCAGATCTCTTTTTGGTGGTCTATTGTTGGCTCCTGCAGGCGAGGAGTAGGGGGCTGATGTGGGCACGGAGCCAGTGTGAAGGCAGAAGCCACCCTCCTGGCTCAAAACACCAGCTTCTAGGCGTGCTTTTAGGAGATCCTCATCTATCACCTCATAGCAAAGGGAATCCCTGTGCTTTGCAGGTGACTTGAAGGTTGCAACTGGGCTCCAGTAGACTGTAACAAAATTTCCTTGTTTCTCTTTGTCTAGAGAGTGCCATTGAGCGAACCTGCTCAAACCCTGAAAACTTCTTCCTCCATCCCCACTGGAGAACCAGTGGTTGGCTAAACCACGGCCTGAGATCAGTGTCGATGGAAGGATCACTATGCCCTTGGGGGTCCTTTGCCTTGGAAGATAATGTGCTCCACAGTTCATAGAATCACAGAATGGTTGTGTTGGAGGAGACCTTTAAAGGTCATCTAGTCCACCCTTCCTGTCATGGGCAGGGACACCTTCCACCAGACCAGGTTGCTCACAGCCCCATCCAACCTGGCCTTCAACACTTCCAGGGATGGGGCACCCACAGCTTCTCTGGGCAACCTGGGCCACTGCCTCACCACCCTCACCATGAAGAATTTCTTCCTGATATCTCATCTAAATCTTCCCTCTTCCAGTTTAAAGCCATTGCCCCTTGTCCTATCACTCCAGGCCCTTGTAAACAGCTCACAGTTGTGACCCTCTCAGTGCTGGATTGTTTCTCTGGCTGGAGCTTCTCTTGAACACCAGTTTTATATGTAAATAATGTTTTGGGTGGGGTCTTTTTGTGGGTTTTTTTGTTTGTTTTTTTCCCTCAAAGTTCCTAGTTGGGTGAGGCCCTGTGTGGAGCCCAGAGTGTCTCCCTTTGTTGGACTGCATTGGGGTAAAGGTGTCCTGAGAGTTCTGGCCAACACAGCATCTTCTTAATTTTTTGCCTTTTAAAATAAGCCAGGGTTATTGAAGAAATAATCTTCGTAGTCCTCCCCTGGGCTGTGGGCAGCAGGAAGGCAGGCCTGTCCAGAGCTGCCTGCAGGTGTTTGGTCAGTTCAAAACTGCGGCCAGAGGCAGACCTGGCAGGTTCCAAACTCTTCTTTCCCCACCTTTACCCCCAGAAATAACTTGTGAGGATGTGTCAGAAATCTCCAGACTCATAGAGCAAGGACATCTCCCTTTCCCCCAGCGCTGAGGTGATGGGCACCTTCCCACGCTGTCTCCCCCTTCGTGTTTTTGTGTGTGTAGTCAGAGCAGTTAGGCAGTCTGTCTGGGGGTCGGGGGGGACCAGGCTTTAGCACGACATTTGGAGGAGCTGGCGGGTTGGTCCTCCCTCCGCCACAGGCTTTCCTACCTGATCTCAGGCAAGTTGCTCATCTTTGACTCTCCTGGGGCTGACAAAGCTGCCGTATAGGGGGATAGAGGGTTGCGGGAGAAGTTGTCCTGCTTTCTGCTTCTCTGGGGAGCTGGTAAACACTGCTGGTAGGAAGTGTGTGGTCTGAGGTGAGTAGGAGGAAAGCACGGAGAGGGGACGTTGGTGTACGGCAGAGGACGTGCATCGTGCGTTGCCCTTTGCAGAGTGGTCTCCTTCCTTTCCTATGGTGCACGTGCAGGTCCAGGTGAGTACCGGTGGAGGAGCGGTACCAGTGCCTTCTGAGGAAGGGGCGATGGGTCTGTCCCACAAAACATCAGCATAATAAACAGGCAGGTGGGGAAAGAGAGCTTCAGCTGTGAGACCAAGGGCAGATCAAGCCACAGAAATAAAAGCTCTGGCCGGCTAGAGCAAGAGTTCAGTTTGGGGCATTACTGGTTTTGATGGATTTTGTTGCAAAGGGGAAAGCAGCAACAGGGATGCCTTCTTGCATGAGTTAAATCAGCTGAATTGAGAAAAGCGAGCCCTGGGCTCACCTCTGTTCAAGCCCCCGGCGCGGCACAACCGCTGCATGGTGGGGGGCTGCCAGGGCTCCAGCCTTGCCTGCCCGGAGCGGTCCACGGAGGTGGTGAGTGGTTGAACTGGGGGCTGGTCAGGTTCCTGGGTCCTGATCACATTTTTCATCCCTTCTCTTTTTCAACTTCCAGGCACCTCAGAGCAAAAAGCCCCTGTTGAAGAAAGGGTCAGTGCTAGGCAGTTACCTGCTGGACGACAAGCCGGTCAAACGGTTAGATGGGCGTCTCTGTTGTGTTCGTGGTGTCGGTCTGTGTCTGCTGGAGTACCCTGTCAGTCAAGCTCTGGCCTCTGTCTAGTTGTCCCACCTTGGTACTGGCTGGTTTTGGGAGCATGGGAGGGGGTGCAGCTTGACTGTGGCTCTGGCTGCCTCTTGGCATCAGGCGGTGTTGGCTCAGCGTGAAGCTGAGGATGCTGTTAGCTAATAATTTCCACAGTGGGGTGGCCCCATCTCTGGGCTGCTTCTATGTGCAGCAATGGTGGGGAGCAAACCTAAGTGCTAACAGAAGCTGTGGGAGTGTTCGTGGGGTGGGAGTCACGAAGGCTGGCTCTGACCAAGTCAGGCAGCTCTATTAAAATGACTGGATCATCTCCCATGTCTGCCAGTTCCTCCTCGGGCAGAAATCCTGTCCGCTGGTGCCAGAGCCCATATCCCAGGGGCATGGGAGAGGCCAGGAGTTGCGCAAGGCTTCTGTTCTCTCTGGCAGCTGAAAGCCCCAAGGAGAGGGCCCAGCTCCAGGAGGGTTCACCCTGCCCATCTCCTTCCACACCTATGCAGATGTTCACCTGGCACATCAGGCCTCCCCTTCAGCCAGGGCAGGCGAACAATGGCTGTGTGGCCAAGGCCTTTTCTTTTCCTCCCACTCTACATGCAGACTGTACCGTGGCTTAAATACCCACGTACACCTGCTTGCCTGAACCCTGCAGGCATCAACCCTTGCAAGGCAGTTGTGTGACCAGCACACCAGTATTGATGAAAAGCCTGGTTCCTCTGAGAAGCAGGAGTGGCCAGCCCAGTCCTGACCTGGCTTGGAGCTGGATCTCCCCTGCAACTGCTGGCCCCAACCAAGTTTTAAAGGCAGGACACTTCCCTGTTTCCTACCAGGTCTCTGCAGAAGGTTCCACTGCTTCCTAGTTTCTCCTGGTGCCAACCAGAGATGTAGGTCTAGGCTCAGAGTTTCTTCCAGCTTCAACTCACCCTGAACGCTTGCGATTCTGGTAGTGGCATCTAAGAATTGAGTTTCAGGCTCATGGAGTGATGGAAAACCAGGTGAACTGTGGAGCAGGACTGATTCTTGAGGCCAGGCTGGGAGGTTGCTTGGATAGGTCTGAGGCAGAGCTCTTTCCTGGCTGTGTGACCAGCAGACATGCTGTCCATGGGATCAGACAACCAAGTTCTCCCGTCCTCCTCCCCAGCTATTTCTTGCAAAGACCCTGCTAGCTGCTGCTGGCATAAACCCCCCGCAAAGGCTTAACAGGTGGAGAAGTCTGACAGCAAGGGTGATGTGAGAAAGCATTTGTTGGTCGTGTCTCTGTCCCAATGCTGTGTCACACCACATTGCTTGAGAAACATGAATAAAATCCATTAGATCTGGAGTCGCTGTTCTGAAAGCTTTGTGTTTGTCCCTTGTTTTTCCCCGCCCCATGAAGAGGCTTTTGAGTCTCAGCCCCTCATTGCTGTGACTCCTGCCAGCCCTGGGAGATGGGGGCCGTTCCCCAGAGCCTCAGCCTGGGAGGATGGGTCTGTTTTCAATGGGGAGAGGTTCCAGCTGGCCTAGCTCTGGGCTGGCATTGGGGTAGATGCAGGGAGGACAACCAGGAACGTAAGCTGCCTTTCAGGGAAAAAGTATAGGCATGGCAGCAGATGAATTTTGCAGCCCTGATGAGGTGTAGTCGCAGGAGCAAGAGAGGAGAGCTGTTACCTTGATTCCTGCACTAGTAGCAAGAGAAAAAAATGTTGCAGAGAGGTGGGATGTGCTGCCTCTGGAGAGATTGACTATAGTAAGCCTCTGGTCTCTCTGACTTGCTTCCAAATGCAATCTGTTGACTGATGAAGGCAATGGAGATATCTGTAGTGGATAAAGCCCTTCAGTTGAGTTCTAAGCCTTCTCACTCCCTTCGTCTAGTTCTTTAACCACGGAAAACCAAGGCAGAGCGAAGATGCTGCCTTGCTTCTCAGCAATGACTCCAGTAGTTTAAATCGGTGATTCTAGCTGTTCTTTTGAAGATTGTTCTTCCACTTACCATGTTGGTTCTACCTCCAGTGAACAAAGTGCATCAGCCTGCTCTTGTGTAGGCACGGTCAGCGCAACACCTATTCCCCACAGCTTGGGCAGGGCGCTCGGGGATTTTTTGCCATGGAAAGTGCAATGTGGCTGGTTGGAAGCTTTAAAAAATAAACATCTTTTGAGTCCTGGCTCCCTTACCTTGGGCCAGGCGTGGATGCAGAGCCAACACCAGGCAAAGTGACCCTGATGTGAGCATGTTCACTGCAATTTGCACATCTATGGTGGGTTTCTGCTGCCTGAACTCGGTGAGAGTCTGTTACAGCGGTGTTTGGAAGTGATGGGCTGGTTTCCTGGAGCACGGCTCTGTGCCTTCAGCTGCAGGCAGTAACATGCGTGCACCCTGCATGATGATCGGCCAGCCCTCGCCCTACTGCCTGCAGTCAAACCCCTTTTCACCAACCTCGAAACCTTTGTTACTTCTTTTTGTGTTGTATTTGGTAGCAAAAATAGAGGAGGGGTTGTTGCTTTTGAAAAAAAAAAAAAAAAAAAGAAAAACCCACAACAAAAAACCAACAACCCCTCCTCTATTTATTTATTTTTTTTTAAAAAAAAAAGGTTTTTCCTCTTGCCACGTTTGTATGCTTTGCCTCATTTTTCAGTACTGGGGGAAGTGGGAGGCAAAGAATCCTTAAAAAATCCAGAAGGTGGGAATTTTTATTAAGATTAATGAAATATATGTCGGTGCGTATGAGTACAGCACAGCTCAGGTGAGCTG